GTCTCAGACATGCATCACGATGTGATCCCACCACTCTGTGCTTGTTTCCTGAGCCCAAAAGCAGTGTTCCACTGTGGCTATTTCGTTGGCTCTTGTGCCAGTCAAGAGTGGACCGAGCCAGGAGGAGGAAATCTTGACGAAGAGGGGGAGGGGGACCCAGAGGCAGAGAATGGCTCTGAGGCCAGAGATGCATGCAGTCAGGAGCTCTTTTCTACTCCGGAGGAGCCTAGCCAGTCATAGCAGTCAGATCTTGGTGAAGCACAAACAGGAGACGGGGCCCCTGGTAAGTGGCTCTGATTTTGGGAATTGCTGAAGCGAGTTGTTGGGGGCAGGAGGTTTGCAGAAAGCAGGCTTGTCTCCCACTCATGCCTAGTCTGAGCGGCGGAACAGGCTGTTGATTGACTCTCTCACTTCACAGGAATCTCCCTCAGAGATCTCCAGGAAACTCTCATGGAGATACTGGGCAATCTGCTGCCACAGATTCCTAGGCAGAGCTGCTTTGTTTCTTGCCCCATTAACGGTAACTTTCACATGTCACTTTGGTGTGACGGGTGGGGGGACCATTGCTGCACATAGGCTAGCTGCATAGGTGCCAGGGCGGTAGCTGCAGGCTTGGAGAAGACCCTCCCTTGATTCCCTCCTCACCCTCAGCAGCGAGATATCTTACATAATGGTCACCTCCTGTGGAAAGTGTGGGGACAGGAATAATTATCAGGCCCACCCTACAGTGCTGGCTCTCCCTAAGTGCCCAAGAGCCACGTGCCCAGTGTACGGCAGGGTCTGGGAACAGTGATTTACCCTGGCCCTGCAGCTACGCACCATTTTGAGGGTTTTGTGGCTCACGTATGCTTGCCTGGGGTCAGCCAGTTAGTGACAGGTGTGTGAGTACTGGCTGTGTTTTAAAGCACTGAAACAGTGTCTGTGTTGCAAACAATACTGCTTCTGTAAAATGTTGCATTTAAACTTCTCAGAGAACACTTTGAGAGCACAGCCTCCCTCTTTGTTATCGGCGGCAGAATGGCTGTGCAGGGGCCAAGAAGAACTAAGGAGGACTTTATGCGTGAGGTTATGATGCACTCGGCCGCCAAGAAGAAAGAATGGAAGGAGTGGCGGGACAGCGAGAAGAGGGACCGAAAGGAGAAAGCGACACACCAGAAAGAAGCCACAGAGCGGCTCTTAACAGTTATGGGGTGCCAAGCGGACACGCTCCAGGCGATACTAGCTCTTCAAACCGAGCAGTTCCACGCCTGCCCTCCCTTGCAGCTTCTGTCGCAAAACTCTTTCCCATGCTTCCCCCCCTCCCCCCACACACGCACGCACACACACACACCACCAACACACTGTTATCAACCTCCTGGCTCCACACTCTACTCGCAGCATTCCACTCCTCCCAGTCCACCACTGTGAACTTCCACTACCCACTGCACTTAACACCCATCCCTCTGCAGTTTGGCCCTGCTGCATTGTACTCCAAAGGAGAAGGTTGAGTATGATCCCTGGACATACACAAATCTGTAGCTGTCCCGGGACCCCTCCTCCTCTTGAGACCTTCCCTTCCCCCATCACCTCCCTGCTGATGATTTTCGTTTGACTCTCTCCTCCGGTTGTTATCTTTCAATAAAAGAATTGTGTTGGTTTGAAAGCAATCTTTATTCTATTAAGTGAAAGCAAAAAGAGCCCTGCAAAGCAACATACAATTATGTTAAGGTCCCTTCTTGCATCATGTGCTCCAATCACCTCCTAGCATTACAAGCACTGCAATCCTGAGCATAGCAACAAATATTAGAGGCTTTCAGCTTCAAATTGCTGCCTCAAAGCATCCCTGATCCCTATGGCGCCGTGCTGTGCCCTTCTAGTAGCCCTGGTTTCTGTCTGTTCAAACTCAGCCTCCAGGTGCTGAGCCTCTGCGGTCCAGCCGTGAGTGAAGCTTTCACCCTTCCCTTCACATATATTCTGGAACGTACAGCACGCGGCTATAAGCATAGGAATATTGTCATCGGCCATGTCCAGCTTTCCATACAGGCATCGCCAGCGGGCTTTTAAACGGCCAAATGCACACTCTACAGTCATTCTGCACTTGCTCAGTCTTTTGTTGAACTGCTCCTTGCTGCTGTCAAGTTGCTCTGTGTACGGCTTCATGAGCCATGGCATTAAGGGGTAGGGGGTGTCTCCCAGGATCACAATGGGCATTTTGACTTCCCCTATAGTGATCTTCTGGTCAGGGAAGAAAGCCCTTCCTTGCAGCTTCTTGAACAGGCCAGTGTTCCGAAAGATGCGTGTGTCATGCACCTTTCCGGACCAGCCTGCATTAATGTCTGTGAAATGCCCACGGTGATCCACAAGCACTTGGAGAACCATTGAGAAATACCCCTTGCGATTAATGTACTCAGTGGCTAGGTGGTTTGGTGCCAGAATTGGAATGTACATGCCATCGATCGCCCCTCCACAGTTAGGGAAGCCCATTTGTGCAAAGCCATCCACAATGTCACGCACGTTGCCCAGAATTGCGGTCTTTTGGAGCAGGATGCGATTAATGGCCCTGCACGCTTCCATCAACACGACTCCCAACAGTTGACTTTCCCACTCCGAATTGGTTAGCGACCGATTGGTAGCAATCTGGAGTAGCCAGCTTCCACAGTGCAATCACCACGCGCTTCTCCACCGGCAGGGCATTTCTCATTCTCATATCCTTGCGCCGCAGGGCTGGGGGCAAGCTCATCACACAGTCCCATGAATGTGGTTTTTCTCATGCGAAAGTTCTGCAGCCACTGCTAGTTGTCTCAGACATGCATCACGATGTGATCCCACCACTCTGTGCTTGTTTCCTGAGCCCAAAAGCAGTGTTCCACTGTGGTCAGCACCTCCATGAATGCCACAAGTAATCTCGTGTCGTAGCTAGTATGTGTGGCGAGATCAATGTCACACTCCTCCTGCCTTTGTAGTTTAAGGAATAACTCTACCCCCACTTGTGACATGTTGGTCAGTGTGAGCAGCATACTAGTCAACAGCTTGGGATCCATTCCTGCAGCCTGAAAGAGGTAGGGCAGGGCGTGCAGTATACAAACCGTTGAAAGATGGCGCCAAATGCGGACGGAAGCACAGAGATTGCTGAGATGCAAAGCAATGCATCACGGGGCATTGGGACAGAACCCAGGATGCCCCGCAATCCCTTCTGCCTTCCCCCAAGTCTTAGCGGCAAAAGAGAAAGAGGTGCTTTGTGGGATAGCTGCCCAGAGTGCACCGCTCCGAATAGCGCTGCAAGTGTCAGCACGCTATTGCGCGGGCAGCTGTCAGTGTGAACACACAACAGCAGTTTTCCTTTGGCGCTCTCTGAGCGGCGCTGTAACTGCTGGTGCTGTAACTTTGCAAGTGTAGACTTACCGGAGTGGGAGGAGGCTACTGGCAAAGCATTGTCTGTCAGGGCCCTTTTCCTTTGGTATATTCTCACCCCCACATCTCTTAGGGCCAAGACAGCCTGAATCTGTAGGCGTTCCAGGTGCAATGCAAAGCCCATCTGTTTGAATGGGCATTGGCTGAGTGCTGACCCAGTGGGATTTCTGTTTAGTGTGAAAATGCAGTCATGGTTTTAAGCTGTAATGGTCAGATGACCAGGGATAAAAGAAATTGTGGGAGGAGGGAGAGGTGCTGCTTCTTTGGATGACTGTATTTCCTAACTCCTGTGGTGATTGGTTATTTTAATTAATTAATTAAAATAAATATATATATCAATGTTACCTTGAGCTTTAAATGAACTCTCTGATGTGGAGTTCTTAAAGGCTGAAATTGAAAAAAGTAAATAAAACAATAATTTACCCTACTTGCAAACAGTTTGGATCACTCTTGGGTGTGGACACAAGATGTGGCGTTATGGTTTTAGGGGGAACAAACTGTAGTTATCATAGGAAATTTCCCTAGCGTAAATAAAACTTGGGTGAAAGGTTTGATAATGACAAAGAAAAAACCATCAACCAAGGAGCCCAGTCAAGCAGCACATTTGGAATGCAGCCTGCTATATCATGTCCACTCTTTGGGTAATAAGAGGTTGATGCCCTTGCTCTCCACATCTCTACACCATTATGCACCAGTCTTGATCAGCCTTAGTGGTAATCTTCAAACAGGTGTCAAAGTTAGACTCAGGACTCACCGTTTGTCAGACCACTCTGTTTTATTAGCACAGCTGTCTGCTAATACATTCAGAGAATGTGAGCCCCCCCATGCAAGACCCAAACAGTCTTATTTATACAGATAAAAGGGCGCGAACTAAACAAAGGGACAAAGAGAGCAAAATTGTAAAATTTACCTGGGGCACAACATGCATATCCTACTTCCTTACTAACTCTTATCGATCTAAGGCTAATACTTCACCAATCGCCCTTAAGTGGAGCAATTGTTCTATCTTAATGTCTGCTATCCTGATACCTGGATCGCAGCATTTCTCATTTCTACTTAAAGGCACATACAGCATTCTTTAATTCATTCTATTTCTTTAATATAATTCATTTCACTTTCACACAGGCTAGTAGACTCCTTTTCTGTCTGCTGGGTGAGTTGCATGTTATGTCTGCTGAGAGCACCAAGTATTTCATAGACATGACCTGGATTAGTCTAATGTTTTCGATATTATCTTGCAAGTGTGAAAGTCATGTTGTTATGCTGCTTTAGTCATATAAATGAGCTAAGATAAGTTTTTAATCGCTGGTCCCTCTGACAAAAATTGGAATGGAAAGAGATAAATAAACCACAAAGCTGTAAAAGAGGGGAAAGTTTTTTATTTTTAAATTCAATATGCAAGTCAAAAACTTTGTCAAATAACTTTTTTAATATAACTTGTTATAGTTGTAGTACAACTTCATTGTAACACAAACGCACTAAACCAGGCAAGACTTCATTTTAAACTGTTATAGTTTGCAGACCATTTCTCTGGCTCCCAATAACCCATAAACAGCTTTTCCAGACAGTTGCAGTAAGGACTTATTCTTTGCTGCCTACATGACCACCTTTCCAGGAAGCTGCCTCAATAATGAAATCTTTGTCCCTCAGTTTTGTTGTTGAGAAAGAGGTGGGATAAAGGCCAGAGTAGGAGGATTAAGGTCTATGGGAACAGAATGCTAGAAAAAGACTATTAGGGGAAGTCATGTGCCTCAAGAGGATGGACTGATAGCTCTGCTGATTTAGGACTAGAAATACACCACCAGGATTGATTCAAGTCTCACTGCTGGTTCCAAATATAAATATGGCAAATTCTAAGAACTTAGGTAAGCAGACTTGGAGGAAAACCAGAAGTAAAAATACTGATTTCTGTCAGGATTCACAGGATGAAATTGGCCCCTTATTGCCTGTCTAGGCTCCAGGCAGAGAGTTGGAAGGGCTGTTTCAGAAAAACCTTGAAGCTGCACTACAAAAAGATGGGATTTTCAAAACTGTCAAGTGACTTAGGATCAGAAGACTCTCCATGGGACGTGCTCCTAAGGTGCATCATCGCTTTTGAAAATCCTACTAAAAGTCTATAAGAGATGCAAAAAAGTTTAAGGCTATCTCTGTGTACAAAACAATACATGATTTTAGAGGATTTCAGAGGGTTCTACAGATGATAAGCTCCCTCTGTTTTACTTGTTTGGACAGCACAATGGAAACCTAATTCTTGTTGGATCCCATAGATCATGAGTCGGCATCCTTTCAGAAGTGGAGTGCCAAGTCTTCATTTATTCACTGTAATTTAAGTTTTCATGTGCCAGTAATACACTTTACATTTACAGGGGCCGGCAGATGGAACCCCATACTGGCAGTGGCTGAGCGGGCCGGCGGCTGCTGTCGGCCCGGGGTTCCATCCATCCAGGCCGGCAGTGGGCTGAGCGGGGCCGGCGGTCGGGACCCCAGGCCGCTCAGCCCGCTGCCGGTCTGGGGTTCCGTCCGCCGGCCCCTGCCAGGTGGTAGTCGAAGTCTGGAACGAGAAAGTAGCAGTGCAATAAGCAGCTTCTTATTGTAGACTGTGGAGCTCCTATTCATATAGCCTCTCTGGCTCAATTTTCCTTCATCTGCTTAAAAATATTTGAGGGGTGTGTGAGAGAGTGACTGAATATAAATAGAGGAAGCTGATGGAGTTTAACATAATTTTTCTCCCATTTCTTAAAGTGATGCATGTTGAATAATGAATTGGTCTAACATTTTTTTGTTTTTGATTTGTTTAGGGCTGTCTGGGGCTGGAAAGACCACAGTTAGCATGGCATTGGAGGAGTATTTAGTGTGCCATGATATTCCGTGCTACACGTTGGATGGTGACAATATTCGCCAAGGCCTTAATAAGAATCTGGGCTTCAGTCCGGAAGACAGGGAAGAAAATGTCCGGCGTATTGCTGAGGTTGCTAAGTTGTTTGCAGATGCTGGTCTGGTGTGCATCGCTAGTTTTATCTCTCCTTATACCCAGGTAAGCATACTGCCCTGATACATATTTATGGTGCTACGGGATGCAATAGTTTTGCTGTGCCACGAATATGTTCATATCACCAGTCTCCCTGGAGAAAACACATGTAAAATATAAGTTAGTGTCACTTAAGGAAAATTTTTGAGCTCTAGGAATCCTCCATTTAGCTTCTCTCCAGTTGATAAATATAATTTAAAATTTTAGTATGTAAGCTTGAATTTCCTTTGAGTTGCCTTAGAGATACAACTGTAGGTGACATCTCATGAATTTCCTAGACAAGTTGAACTTCTTTCAGTATTAGTGCAGTCCCTGCTTCTACTAAATTTAAAATGGTAGCTGTCTTTCAGTGTAATTTTGTCACAGCTGAGAGATACAATTTGGTATTAGGACAAGGGGGGAAAGGAGAAAAGACAAACCAAAATTTCAGTGTTTTTTTCACTTGTCCAGGTTAGAGCCATCTGGATTTCTTTGTTTTTTAAATACCAAGAAGGTGGAGAATATGCTTCATCTGGAAAACATAATTAGACTGTTAAAACCTCTCCCCCCCCCCACCCCCCCAAAATATACAGCATGGTCTTTACTTGCCTAAATTGTGCAAGAAAAATATGCAGTTGAGCTTGCAAAATGGCTAACTGTGTTCGACTTGTTCAATTTGTTGTTGTATGCAGTTTTGAATGTGTATTTAGATGTGGCTTTTTGGAAATACAGCCTAAATGTGTGTGTACATTTTGTACTGTTAAGCATTTTTCATTGTGTGTGGAGATGTACTACTCAGTGAACGAAGGGGAGAGAGTTGGCGAATGGACACCAGGGAGCATCTTTTAAAATAGTTTTTATGCATGAGGTCTATAGTATGACAGTTTCAAAGTGAGAATTACCTCAGTATTTCTTTGGGTATTGTGGTGCAAACTATTCTTTAAAGAATAGTTTGGAGAGTTCAGGATTCTGCAGCAGGCCAGAAGTTCTAGAGATGAGAAAAATATACAACAGTGCATATCCAACAAGTGTATTTGGTTAGGGATCAAGAAATCTACGTTTAATATTTTAATGAATTGCTTTTTTAATGATGGCTAATGATTGGGAATTTTGTGACTAATAGTACCTGGCTCTTTGAGCTGTGGTCCAAGTGTAGTATCTGCTCTGAGCAGGACCATGTTTGTAAAATGTGTATGTGGTATTTGGGTCTGCACAAGCCTAGTCAGGTTGATGCGTGCAGAAGGAAGTTTGTGTTCAGTGGAAACCCCCCCAAAAAGGGGAGTGGGGGTGGGGGATTGAGAAGAGTTGAAGGATTCATGGGCAGTAAGCCACATCCCTTCATGGCGTCAATGAGATGGGGTAGATGTATTATTCTCAATGGGGGGGTAACGCCTAATATTTGGGGGTGGGGGAGAATAGGAAATAGAATATCCCATTGTACATATGACTTGGGTATAAAAAATCCAGTTCTGTATAAACTACCTCTGAATTTGGTGTCAATTTTACTATGCAGAAAGCAGCAGACCCACTAATCATATGTACTTTGTACTTTATGAAAGGAACATATCTATTTCCCCCCCCCCTTTTGTGATCGCAATCATAGAATATCAAGGTTGGAAGGGACCTCAGGAGATCATCTAGTCCAACCCCCTGCTCAAAGAAGGACCAATTCCCAGACAGATTTTTGCCCCAGATCCCTAAATTGCCCCCTCAAGGATTGAACTCACAGCCCTGGGTTTAGCAGGCCAATGCTCAAACCACTGAGCTATCCCTCCTCCCTTATCTTAAATAAGCTAATGTCCTACAAATATTCTTCTTTATTTATTTTTTTCTGATTCAAAATTCTATTTAAAATCTGTTGTTTCTTTCCCCCTTCCGCCCTCCCTGTTCAGGATCGGAGCAATGCCAGGCAGATTCATGAAGGTTCAAGTTTGCCTTTTTTTGAAGTATTCGTGGATGCTCCACTGCATGTCTGTGAAAAGAGAGATGTCAAAGGACTCTACAAAAAAGCCCGGGCTGGAGAAATTAAAGGTGAATCTAAGTATAGTCACATCTTTTCCATGCTAAACTTTGATGTTGTAATGATTGGCTCTATAGACAAATAAATAAATGGCACACTCCAGGCCACATTTCATTAAGGTGCATTTTGGTCCAGTGAATAGACACTGGGCTTAGACTAAAAAACCTGATTTCTATTCCCTGCTCTGCCGTAAGCCTGCTCTGTAACCTTGGGCAAGTTGCTTTGTCTCTCTGTGACTGTTTCCCCTCCCACCCTTTACCTGTCTTCTCTATTTAGATTATAAGCTCCTTGGAGCAGGAGCAGTTTTTCCACTCTGTATTTGTACAGTGCCAACCACCGTGGGGCCCTGATCTAGTTTCCATGTGTACTGTAATGTTCATAATGGCCTGCCAAAAAAGTAATGGAAAAGAAGTACATTCACAGTCCTTCCTTCTGTAAAGCTGCATCGTGAAGAACGCTTTTACAAATTTATTTTTGTGGTGCTGAAGAAGCTATGGTTGTGTGCTGATGCCCTGTTGCATTTTAATACCACAAATAAGCCCCACTAGAAAAAATTTACAAAGCTGGAAATCATATCCTAATGGATTGGAATCAGTCAGCAATTTTGTTTAAGGATAACCGCATAGAAGTGCCTTTTTGCTGGATAGTAGTCCTGCAACTTGTAGTGGTTAGCAATAGTCATTCTGCCTGTATTTGGAAGCAAAACAGTGTTGTACAGTATCTGCTTCAGCTACTCGATCTCATAGACTTTAAGGGCAGAAGGGACCATCATGATCGTCTAGTCTGACCTCCTGCACGTTGCAGGCCACAAAACCTGCAATAGGCCCATAACCTCTTGCTGAGTTACTGAAATCTTGATTTAAATACTTCAAGTTACAGAGAATCCACCATCTTTTTCTCTAGAGAAGATGAAGCTATCGAATCAAAGACTGCTTAATGCATATCTGGATTTCCGTGGAGGTGATTGTGGGATTGCCTCCCTGGATGAGAGGCATGATAGCATGATTGGTTAGAAGCTCCTCTGTTTCAGACTAGCATGTTAAGTAGAAAGGGCAGAGAAAATTATATGGCGTCTGATTTGGGATGTAAATACAGTCTTTAGGCCTGTAATAGCCATGTATAGCAGGCTTTATTAGCTCACTTAACTACTTCAGCTCTATTAGCCATACCAATGTGCCAGAAAAACCACTGTGATGTTTTACCCTTTAGAGTTCTGCCTGTTGAATCAAAAACTCGTTAACCAGTCTTGCGTGCAGATAAGCAAAATATGTAAAGATTATTTAACAATGCATTCCATATCAAAGCAATTACAGTAAGGACAGCCAAAAGGGTGTCTAACTAGTAACTCAAGATTGTTGCACATTGTGCTTTTGCTTCCTTCTTCCTCATCCATGGTATATTCTGTTACTTACTGTAGAAGGGTGCATTTAGAAAGGTAATAAAGGGTCTCATTTTAAAAAAAATAAGCCATACAAAATTGTGTCAAAGAAGTTAAAACTACATACTCTGCCATACTGTGTGTCTGCCTACAGCCAAGCAGCTACAGTCGAATAATATAAGAACCAGTCTGAAGTATGGAGGAATTTTCAGTTCTGTCTTCTGTCATGCAGGTTTTACTGGCATTGACTCGGAGTATGAAAAGCCTGAGGCCCCAGAACTAGTGCTGAAAACTGATTCCTGTGACGTGAATGATTGCATTCAACAAGTAGTGGAACTTCTTCAAGAAAGGGTAAGGAGATGTGGTGGTGTCTTCTGATATTGATTTAAATTTTGATTTAAACTTATCTCCAAATTCAAATTCTTTTAAAAATAAGTTTTATAAAACTAAAGAGCAATAAATTTTTTCCCCACAATTAAAAAAAAACCCCCCACTGTAAACATTTGTCTTTAAAAACACCCTGCTGCGTCTTAAAAACAAATGTCGTAGCAGTAAGAACCTGAAAATGGAAATACACTGCAAACAAAAATGAAACTTAATTATTTTCATTGTCCAAGCTGAGAGACGCAAAAAGTGAGGAGCTCTGATGCCTCACAACTTTTTCATCGGTAATATCATGGTAAAGTGCATATAGCAACTTTATATATAAAGTTATGAACATAAACTGAAATCATGGCTGAAGAGTATCTCCCAGTTAAGTCTGGGGAGTGGTTAAACCAGTTTCTCAAAGACAAAGGGCAAGTTGATGCCCCAGCCAAGTGTCCACAAAGCAAATGAGCCATTACCTACAAAGTAGCCATTATTTACAAAAAAAGTGGGGCAGGGACAAAGATTTGCGTCTTAGCACAGAAACAGCATGGAGATTTTTTCCTCCTGAGACTGGGCAGTCTCCTAGTTTTCGACTGGAAAAGCTTTTAAAAGAGGAACAGGGGCAAACACCCCAAGGGACCCCTCTGCCCCCCATCTGCCTCTGGCATGGCACCTAAAAAGACATAGGAAAACAGCCATTGGACTCTGGAGGGGATGGGAGGGGGTGTGGGTCCTGACCTGAAGAGTTTGGTTAGTAATCTTGCTGGAAGCGTGTGGTGAGAAATTTTGCTTGAATCTAATATACTTTGGTAGGCACCAGTAAGCGTTTTATCTTGATGTTTCGTGTAACCATTTCTGACTTTTATGCCTCATTACATGTACTCACTTAAAATCTCTCTCTTTATAGTTAATATACTTGTTTTATCTAATCCAGTGTGTTTAAGTTGAGGGTCTGGGTAACTATTTAAGTTAATAAGCTGGTACATTATTCCCTTAAAAGAATAATTGACTTAATACATTTGAACAGTCCGAGAGAGAGCTGGGCAGTACAGGACATACATTTTGGGGGAGGGGAAGGGGAATCTGGGACTGGGGGTGTGATGTGGTTACCCTGCAGTATAACCAAGGATGGTGAGAGCCAGAGTGTAACTGGCAGGCTGCAGTTACACACAGGATGTGACTTGCTGTGTTGGAATGACCAAGGTGGGAGCTACTTCAGCAAGCCATTGTAAGGCACCCAAGGTCGCAGAGCAAGGGTGACACAGCCCCTCACTGGTCTGAATTTTACCCCAGTATGTCACATAAAGCCACCCCTGTGACCGTAGCGTCTGAGCACCTCACAGTATTTAATGTATTTATCCTTGCAGCACCTCTGTAAGGTAGGGGCAGTGTTGTTATCTTTATTTTACAGAGTCTCTGTGTCTCAGATCCCCAAGTGACTGTGGCAGAGCAAGGAATTAAACCTAGGTCTCCAGAGTGCCAGGGTAGCACCCTAACCATAGGCCATCATGTTCTGAATATTTTCATACAGGGAAGCATTACTTGCCATATATAGGATGCTAGTAATAACTTGATCACAGGATCTCTTGCACTTCCTAGTAGGAAAAGCCATCTGTGTTCTTAAAACTTCATAATTCAAGAGAGACGCAGCATGTGAGCCCATGTAACGAGCCTCCAGTTCTTTGCTTAGGGCATTGGGTCTGCTATGCTGAATACGATTTGGCGTTTGTCTCAATTAAACAGGTTTACCTTGCCCCTAGCTTAGGCCATACTTTAGCACTTGCTAAGAAGAGTGAGAGTGAATAGCTATTCAGGGAAGGGCATGGGAGATGTTCTTGCCATTCCTTCCCTGAAGGACGAAGAGGGTGAATCCATAAGGGATGTGAGTGTTGCTGTGCCGGAGACTGTCTACACTACATCATTTACAGTGGCGCATCAGTAGTGCTTCTGGTGAAGACCCTCTTAGCTGATGGGACAGAACTCTTCCATTGACTTAACTCCTGCCTCCACGAGAGGCGGTAGCTATGTTGGCAGAAGAGCGTCTCCCATTCACATAGCGCTGTCTACACCCGCGCTTAGGTCAGTATAATGTATGTCACTCAGGGGCGTGGATTATTCACACCCCTGAGTGATGTAAGTTATACTGAAGTAATTTGTAGTGTAGACATAGCCCTAGTCTCAAGTGAATTATGTCTTCTTTAAGAATCTATTAGGAGTAGTATTTTACCTGTAATAAGCATGTGGATTTTCTTCTTTAGCAATCCATTAGGACAGGCAGAGGAAAAGCAGCAGAGGGAAGACAGGATTAAAAAAATTGATTTTGTTTAAAATAGCTATGGAGCAATCCTTATGCAAAATGTTAGTATTTCTTGAATTTCAGATGACCAATTTTTTGAATGGAAACAAGCAACTTTGATGTCTTCCTGAAATCTGTGCTAAATGCATACATAATTCTCTTGACTCCACCACCTCAGCCAAGCTTCACAATCATCATTGCAGTGTATAGTACTAAATTGTTTGTTTAAAACTTATACTGTGTATATATGTGTGTGTGTGTGTGTGTGTGTGTATACACACACACACACACACACAC